ACCCCTCTATGCGCCCCATTCCCCTATGCATGCACGTGCAACCCCTGCCCCATTTTGAGCCTAGCAGGTCTCCCTGATGGGACAAAAAATGGGGCATGTATGCGCGCTGCATCCCCTGCACCCCTGTACCCCTCACATGCACTCACACATCTCCCACATACATGGTAGAAACCCCAAAATCAGCTGACTGGCGGAAGGCGCGTGCGCATGCGCAGTAGAGCTGAGCGGGATGACAGCTCACGTGACCGCAGAGGGCTCCACATGCCACCTGTCGCATGCATGCCATAGGTTCGCCATCACGGGTCTCTGGTGTAAAAAAGCATTGTAATAAACTGCAAAAGATAGGCTACTGTTGTTCAATACATTAAGCTACAAGCCAACTACCATGTGTTTTAGCCCAATGTTTTTTGTAAACTGAGCCTGTCATTAGTTATGTTTCACTGTGTGTGTCAAAAAAATAGGTTCTGTTGGCAAGAGAAGTGGGAGAGAGTCTTCTTTGCCCCAATCTTCCATTGTTGTTTGCAAGTGTCCCTGAAAAACTCTGACCAAGGATGGATAGAGAGCATGCGTGCAGCAGCCTCAGGGGCCAGTGTGAGAAGGACAGAGCCCTACCCCTACTATTAACTGTGAACAGTACATTGCATATAATTCCACGTTTTATGCTTCAAGAGCTGAAAGATATCATTTTAAAACTGGAGCAGGAAAAGATAAATCCAGACTGTTTTTTGGATGGTCATGGGTGTGTTGAAGATATCATCCATTTTTGTGGGGTTGCTGAGGGATAGCTTGCTAATGTCTTCTCATCATTTCTGTTGACAGCTAGACTGTCCTATTACAGGTGCTAATGTACTGTACAATTATAACATCAGTTACCATTCTTGTAAGACATCACTGGAACAATTTTGTATAGCATGCAATTGTATTCTGACCAAATAGTTACTAATTTACACATTTTATTCAACTTAACATTTTAATTTTCCAGTACATAGCTGCTAGTCCATAGACATGAGTCATGATGTGTAATGTTTAAGAAGCTGCATGATTTTTTGCTTTTGCTGAAACAAATATAGTTATATTTTCAAAAAACATTAAAATGCTTTTCAACTGTTGCTAATAAAGAGTATTGAAAAGAGTTATAAGCCATATCTATGATGTTAGATTTTCTGTGACTATACATAAAGAATAGTTCATAATATTTCATAAAAGGTGCAAACCACTTCATGACATTAAAAGTAACAATACATTAAGTGCTTGAAACTTACAGAATAGTAGACGACCAACTAACTACTCCGTTAAAAAAAGACTAACAGCTAGTGCTGATGCAAAGCAAAAAGGCTGAGTAAAAGTTGTAGTAACAGCAGTCTTTATCTTCATAGGTTCAAAGTGTTAAAGGCATGCTGAATAAAAGCCACTTCTGCTAATTGGGAAAAATGGCATGGCTAAAAGTGTTACAGATAGACACATCACATTGACATATGTTTGTCAATCTATGGTAAAGTAAGATTGTGAAAGCCTGATACTCAGAAAGATCCCATTGCTTTTGAATTGTTGGAAGAAGATTATTGAGAATACTTTGGACAGAAAGAAAATCTAATATTAGATGAAATAAAATCAGATTTTCACCGAAACACTCATCAGCACTCATTCTAAACACAACGTGAGACGGCTATAGAATCGTGGGAGAAAACGTTGAGAGGCCAAGAGAAGGCATGGTAATTCGATGCATTCCCCGATAACACAAAGATGAGCTTCCAACAACTCAAAGGAGCAGTTACTGACAACCACAGCCACCTGGTCACAAAACGTCTTGACCGAACGATTTAACCAAGAACGGTCCTGAAAGGAACGCCGTCAGAATAGCTGCTGTGAGCGGTAGCGGGAGAGTTGTTGCCCTCCAGTTGTCCTTGCTCTTGTTGCCGGCCTGATTCATCAGGCTCTTCATAGGCTTGAGGGAGCTTTCAGGTGCAGCCACATTTTGCACAGCCCCCGCCCACCCATTGCAAACCCAGAAGTTCGGCCCTAGGCGATGCAATACCCTTCTCGTTTCCCTAGAGGTCCCTAAGGAGTCTCTCGCTTCCTTTGTTCTGAATGGGGCCCTTCCCTTCTCCGGTTGCAGAATCGGAACATGCGCAGGAGAGCCCCGTGTGCCCTACCTCCACTACCACGGCCGCCGGGATGGCGATACCGCCATAGTGCCCGGATGTAACAGCCGAAGCGTCAGGTTCGCCCCCTCCCCTTTCGAACCTCTATAAAGCGCAGCCAGCTTCTCCGGGTTGGGCGACACCATTTGGGGGGAGTGCGGGAGGGGGGAAGGCTACACGTCGTGAACGCTGCGCTCCGCTGGCGGAGGCCGCATCCTATCCACCCCGCGGAAGGAAACCGGCAAGCTGGTCGGCTGGCTGTTTGGATTTGCTTTTCAGGTCTTTGTTGTTCCGGCGTTCAGGCATCCCTACGGCCTCGGGTTCCCCGGGTTATTGGCGTCAGCGACCCTCCCGGTGTCGTCGCTGCACCGCGAGGGACACCCCCCACCCCGGCGAGCTGAGTAACAATGAGCAATTCAAGGAACAACCGAGTGATGGTGGAGGGCGTCGGTGCCCGCGTCGTGCGGGGCCCCGACTGGAAATGGGGCAAGCAGGATGGCGGCGAGGGCCACGTGGGCACCGTGCGCAGTTTCGAAAGCCCCGAGGAGGTGGTGGTGGTCTGGGACAACGGCACGGCCGCCAATTACCGCTGCTCGGGAGCCTACGACCTGCGCATCCTCGACAGCGCGCCCACAGGTGAGAGGGAAGCGGGAGAGCCAAGATTAGTAACAGAGTTGGAAGGGACCTTGGAGGTCATCCAGTCCAACCCAGGAGACCTGTACTAGGGATTCGAACCGCCGAACTGGGGACCTTTCTGATCGACGAGCTCAGTGTCTTAGCCACGGCGGGCGCTTGGGGTGGGGGTTTAGGTCTTGGGGGAGAAGTGTACGGGTTTTCATTCTCTTTAGGGTTCAGCGAGTCTCCCTGCCGGCGGTGCGACTGTCGACGCCGTCGGGACACTGCTGGGAGTTTCCCAAGAGCGGGCGAGGGTTGTTAGCGACTCAGACGAGGCCTTGTTTCTCCGCAGGGCTTCTAATCAAGGAACTCCCTGCTTAAGAGGGGTGTGAACGGGGAAGCCCATGGCAGAATTTGCACAGGGACCTTAAGAGCTCAGTCAATGTTAGAGCACAGAAAATGTTGAAGGGTCATTTAATAGGAAAGGAAAGAGGTGTGTAATGAAATTGACCCAGAGTGTCAATTGAAAATGCAGGTTATTACTGGGGATGGAGTGCACCCCACTCTTCTGCCTTCAGGCAGTGGAGTTAAATCCTACATGTCTAGGTTTGCCCCTTTGGAGGTTAATTTCTATGTAAGAAGTTAGTTCAATTGGAACTTTTTAGTAAGATTTGGAGTTTCTTAAGTTTAATGGAAAAAACGCCCCCTTTATTCTGTGGGACACATGCACAGGACGTATGATTGTGCTATATAAAAAGGATTTTCTGAAGCAATATTGCAAAGCATCTTTCATCTTGCAATATAGTTGGACTTTTCTTCGAGTGACTGTTTCAGCATCCTTTTAAAAATAAGTATAGTGTTGAAGTTAAATATTGGGAGGGTTCTTTTTTTGTCTTCGTAATAAGGTCATTATGTCACTGAGTTACTCATTTTTTAAAAATAGTTTTTGATCCAAGTTTGGAAAGTTTTATCCCAATGCTTAAGATACATTTAGTCTTGGAGAAGATGCCCATTGTAGCTTATTCAGCAACAGGGAAATAAATTTATATTTACATTGCTGTTTTACAATAGTGAGGAAATGTCCATTGTCTATGGCCTTATTTTCTCAAATAATTATTGTAATATGAAAAATATCAGGTTTTTAGAAATCAGTTGTTACTGAATTAATGACACTTCTGATATTTTATGTATTCAATTTCTATAGCTGTCCATCTAAACCAATGGCTTTAGGCAGCTTACAATTCAAAAAATATGCAATATTAATCTTTTATAACAAAAACAATAGAAAATGAAATAAATATTCATTGAAAATAAACATGCATTCTAGCAGAGATACTAAGCTAGCTAACAATGAAGCCAGGGAATGGGGCACTTAGCACATTCAGTACCCTAGGCTCAGGAACAGCTAGATTTCTAGAGCTTTATGAAAGGCAAATAGAGTTTGGGCCATTCTCATGTCTGAGTTGAATATCCGCCAATATTCCCATGAATAAGGGGCTATTGCAGACAATGGCCATCTTCTAATTCCTACCAGCCAACACTGACTGACAGGATCTGCAGCATGCTGAATTGCTAAATTGAATTGCATAAGTAGAGATTCTTGGAAAAAGGTAGTCTCTCAAGTAACCCATGTAGGACTTTAAAGGCTTAACCAGCACCTTGAATTACACCTGGAAACATACCAGTAAAGGTACTCTAGTAGTAGTGGTGTTACACTTGCCATAAATCTGGAAACATTTACCACCTGCGCAGTTATATTCTGTTCCAGTTCTATACCAGTTTCTGAATACTCTTCAGGATTAGCCCCATGTAGAACATGTTTCAGTAATCTAGATAAGAGGTTACAATACTGTGAGATACTGTGCTACTAACAGCATTCCAGTCCAAGAATAGGTGTAGTAGGTGCACATACCCTCGAAGGTGTGCAAAGACTCTCCTAACCATGGCTGCCATCTGCTGTTTGAGCAGGAGCTATGAGTCTAGGACAGGGGTGACAAACTGGAGGCCCTCAGGCTGGATGCATCACGTGCAGACCACGCACACCCCAGCTCCTCAAATGGGGAAAACGTCACAAAACATCACAAAACATCACAAAACATCACATGACAGCAACTTGATGTGGCGAGTTTGACACCCATGGTTTAGGAGGACCCCCAGATTGCACAAGAGGTCTGCCAGGGGTAGTGCAGCTCCATCCAGAATTAAGGATGGAATTACCTGTATGTAGATATCGGAGTGCCCTTTTTATTATTAAACAATTACCCATTGAAGGCAGCTTCATTTTTTATGATTAAGAGATACATGTTTGAAATCTCATTAAATTGGTGAACATAGTACTAGAGCTTCAACTCAGATGTGGGATGGAAAAAAGATTGCTAATAGCTTCTGTAGAAAGCTTTTCATTTCATTAAACTGTACATTTTTAGAAATTGATTAGCAACATAATTAGAACTACTAGATACCAGATAAATTAGGTTTTGTTAGAATTAGGACTGGTGAGATTCACTCTCGTGCTTTCAGTTCCTTCATAGTCTTCCTTAAGATTTCAATATGCAAGAGAGGTGTTTACTATTAAAGTATCATGTTCATATTAGAAAAATGAGAATTCCAGTTGCCAGTTTAATTCCAGTTTAATTTAGTGGGTCTTATTCCCATGTAAGTGCACATAGAATCCTATTTTACTTTTAGAATATACAAGTAGTCCTTGACTTACAACCGGTTAGCAAGTGACCTTTCAAAGTTACAACAGCACTGAAAACCTTGACTTATAGCCATTTTTCACACTTTATAAACATTATAGCATCCCTGTGGTCACATGATCAAAATTCAGCTCTGATAGTTGCAGTGAACTGGGGTAATGTGATCATCTTTTGCCACTTCTGACAAGCAAAAGATAATGGGGAAGCCAGATTCAGTAAACAATAATTTTTGTAACTTAACAACTGCAACGATACACTTAAACCGTGGCAAGAGAAGTTGTAAAATTGGACAAAATTCACTTAACAACTGTCTGACCGTGTTTCCCTGAAAATACGACATGTCCTGCTAATAAGGCCAGGCCTGGTTTTTGAGGTGGGTATAAATATACACTCTCCCTCAAAACTAAGCCCTAGTGTAAGGGTGCCGTGGCAAGTACAGGAGAAAGTTCTTCCCTTCCCCAGTCACCTCAGCGCTTCTCGGCTCCTTAATTGGATCAGTTGAGCCGATCCAGCTGCCATTCAAAAAACAGCTGATTTGCGGGTGCTGCTCAGGCTGTGGCCTCTGGCAAGTGCGGCTGCTTTTGCCATCAATTGCGGCCACAAAAGCAGCAGGAGGCCAAGTGATGTACCCCACACGGCTTGCACTGGCCTTCCGAAGGGTACTGTAGCAGCAGCTGTCCACAATTTTTTTAATCATTATTTCGTCCCGACCCACGTGGCCCAGTGAGCCACGTGGATCAGGACAAAATAAGGGTAAAAAAATTGTGTATAGCTGCTGCTACAGTACCCTTCGGAAGGCCGGCTTGAGTCTCTTGCTGCAAAAGTGGCTGCGCCTGAGACTGCTTTTGGGAGAGGAGGCAAAGGGGAAGCAATCAGCTTCATCTCGCCCTTTCCCTCAGCCCCCCTTCGGCTGAGCTCAAGCAGAGAGGTGGCCCGCAGGGTGGGAGGAGTTGGGCTGCGTGCGAGACACGCGTCCTACCCGAGACTTGCAGCTCTGTCATGTTCTGTTTTGTCCAGGAAGTTGAACTGGCGAGATTTTTTTTTTACAGGGTGCTTCCTGTAAAACTCCTCCCACCCTGCCCCAATGCTAACAGAATCTAGGCTGTTAAAAAGTTTGAACTGTCTGTTGGCTTTATCATTTAAACACATATTGTATATATTGACTGAAATAAACTTTAAATGTTTTATTATTACAAAATATGCTTATTATACAAACACAATTATTTAAATTTATATGCTTGCCCATCTCAAATTCATAACTGTGGGCGGCTAGTAATATTAAAAGAAAACTAGGAAAACTAAAAAACCCATAGCAGCCAGAGTAAAAACAAATTCATCAATCATAATTCAATATAACAAATGGACGGATTCAATGTTTCTGTTGTTAGATTATTGCCTATTTGCTTAGAAAAGATTAACTGTAAGGGAAAATACACATTTGGAAATTATGTCTTGAGATTTAAAATATACGAAATGGTAGGAAATGCCAGGCTAGTTCAGTGATGCATTAGATTCAATAAGGCATTTGTGTTTGGTAGGCCCAGCTCTAAAGTTTGAAATAGAAGGGAAGGCAACGTAATAATGATAGAACTCACCTAATGATGTTGAAGATTTCTTATAACTTATTAATTCTGAGAAGAATTCAGACTCAAACAGAGAACTGACATAGCTGCCCTTTTAAGAATGCTGTTCCTATCTGTGATGTTTGCTCTTTTTTTCTTGTTAATTTCTTTAATTGATTCCTAGTTCTATTATTTTGTGATATTACAGTTTTGTTCTTTAATTGAAATTATAATATACTCAATGCCTAAACCTCAGTGTTTTTGTGTTTGTTTTCATATGTTCTGTTTAAAATACTATGTTAGTTGTATAACTATTTATAGGTATTAAACATGATGGGACTATGTGCGATACTTGTCGCCAGCAACCAATAATTGGTATTCGATGGAAATGTGCGGAATGTACAAATTATGATTTATGCACAGTATGTTATCATGGGGATAAACATCATCTAAGACACCGCTTTTACAGAATAACCACACCTGGAAGTGAAAGGTAACATATAATTCATTTTAAAACTATATTATTTAGAAAAGTTCCTGCATCTAAAATGTTCATTAAAGTGAAATATACTGTTTTACATTAAAGCAAGTCTTAGATTTTGGCAACGAATATTTTTAAATAACTTATTTTTGATTGGGCATCTCTTTAACCTATCATCAATATTATATTTTAGGGTATTACTGGAATCTCGCCGTAAATCCAAGAAAATTACTGCAAGAGGAATCTTTACAGGTGCCAGAGTGGTACGAGGAGTTGATTGGCAATGGGAAGATCAGGATGGTGGCAATGGACGCAGGGGCAAAGTAAGAGTTCAGAGTACCATTACTGTTTCCTGGACAGTTCATGACTAGTAGCATAATATATGTTTAATATTTCTTTGGATTTTTCTTCTAACTAGCAGCATTTATCTGTTCTCTGTGCCTTTAAAATATAAATATTGATATGTTTACTGACATGAGCCAAGGTGGCGCAGTGGTTAAATGCAGCACTGCAGGCTACTGCTAGATCAGCAGGCCAGCGGTTCAAATCTCACCGGCTCAGGGTTGACTCAGCCTTCCATCCTTCCGAGGGGGGGAAAAATAAGGACCCCAATGTTTTGGGGGGGATGTTTAATTTCTTTTTCACTCTATTTTGCGCT